TAATAATACAGCTGTAGTTTGAAGTCTTTCTCAGATGTAATTCTCAAAAGTAATTTCAGTTGTGGTCAGAAAGTTTTATACACTCATCATGGGTGTGAATGTTAGACATATTGGGGGCTTTTAATGATTTATTGCAACACTTGTTTCCTGGGTGAAAAGACTATACCACAAACMGATGCAATGGTTTTTAATTTAGACRTGGGCAAAATTATACAYATAGACTTAAATATAATCACTCCAACTAATATTTGCTAAAATGTCTTTTAGTAAGATGCTCCAGAACTACAGACTTTTATATCCATCAACAAGTTTTTGACATAATTCTTATCTTATATTTGACCATTTCTCTTGACAGAATTGGTAGTTTAATTTGGTTGGTCTTCTTGCTTTTAGATATATATTTTTTATATTTTTCTTCTTATCGTATAAAAATTTATTTGTTTTGTTTTAATGAAATGAATAAAGGAATTGATATATAATCATAATCCACAAATGTTAAATAGGGTTCAGATCAGGACTATAAGAGAGCCGTTCARGATTCCTAATGTTAACCTGCTTAATCAGAGAAACCAGTTTTGATCATTGTCCTGTTGGAACCCAATTGAGTCTAAGTTTCAAACTGAAGTTGAAGAATATAGAGGGGATACTTCTTTATTATTCCTTTTTTATTATATCACAGCATGAAGCTTTCACCACCTTGCTAAGCTTTTATATTGTTTTAAAGACTCATTGTAGCTGGAATTATCATTCCATTCTGGGGAAAACATATGATTCAAGTATATAATTAAAAGCCCCCAATTAATTCCCTCTTTTTATGTTTAGACGAGGCTCGAGRGTGTCTGTTTGCATCCCATGCATCTCCATAAGTGTCATATATACCCATATCATTCAGCTTTGTTCTCCATGTTTCATCYATCTGTCTCCCTTCCCGTCCCCAAAAAAGYGAAACTAGAGGTTGTCAGTCAGCAGCAGCCTGAGGATGAGGCTCCAGAGCAGCTCAGCAGTTATCATGAAGACGGAGACATGCACTTAGAACAGACAGATTGTTTAAGAGAGCCCCAGGCTTTGGGCATCCACAAAGTCCAGACGCCTGAGGCCATCAATGGAGGAAGTCATCAAGGTGTGTGTGTGGTTCTGTATACAGCTGGAGTGGGAAAATGGCCACTTTTTTTTCTTTATGAGTGTGTGTGGTTGTCCGTTACCAATCATGCATGAACCTCTTGGGCTCTGTATTGAGTACAACTACTCTCTTCTCTTGGTTTATAAATTGACATGACGCCACCTGTAAAACAAGCCAGTACCTTGTTAAATGAGTGATCATGGCAAGTGACACTCCTCCTAGCTGCAGAAACTGCCTGAGCTTTTTTCTCCAACAAATTTTATTGAGATTTCCATTACCAACGCTGAGCCTTTATAGCAGATTTTGTTAAGCATCTTCTTAAAAATAGTTAAATATCAATTTTGACATGTGTTATCATGAGAAGTTAAAGGACAGAATACAGTTTTGTTTTGTTTTTCCATTCCTAAAACCTAAACAGATTCTGGAGAAGTGCAAGCAATGGCTAAAGGCTTGTAGCTCCTCATAACAGCTGAATACAACAGTTATAGACAGGAACTACCAAATTTTTGTGTGTACAAAGGTAAGCACAAGTAGATTTACCATGTACTGATTTTCATAATTTTATATGTTGTGTTGTATTAGTATCAAATAGATAAAATGAAAGGTAATATTTAAATAATGCAGTTATGTGTAGATCTACGTTGCAACTTTGGGTTACATAAGTTTAGTCTTTGATATTAAACAGTTAACAATGAACGGATTTTGCTTATTTAATTGGTTGTGTTATGTGAAATGTACACTCTTAGTACATACTAAATTTAAGTGAGTTCTAACAATGGATTGCTCACTAAACAAGTAGTTCAGTAACTGCAGTTTAAGTTTCTAAGTATCTGTTGTAAGTCTTACGCAAGCACAAGTTTATTGCACTGTTTTGTTCTTCCTCTGGCTTCAGAAGACTTGGGCTTTAACTTRAGTTTCTCCATGATTTCTTTAAAATAACTTCGCTGAACTGATGTATGACTCAGTATCAAACTTCTTTACCTCATTGGTGGCTGATTATTCAAAAATGTCTCCCCAGATATCTCTGGTGATTCACAACGTCCACTATTAAAGCTGTCTAGGTTGTCRGAGGTTGCTTTACCCGAGGTAACATGACTATGTAGGAGGAGCAAAATTACCTTTGGCGTCATGTCAATTCTAATGCAGCTCAAGCTTCACTGCTGCTTTGTTGCTCTCAACTTTGTAAGCTTTTGCTTCAATACCAAAAGTTCTCATCTGCAAATGGCGTAACAGCATTTTGATTTTGAGCTATATTTCATGCAATACACAACCATTTGCTTTTTACAAGCACATAATCAACCATATTATGGTTGATCATTTTTGCACTTTAGTGTTGCCAGCTACATTGCAAATGCAAGTACCACTGTCTAAAAATGTCATTGTAGATCTAAATGTTGGCAGAATTACTGTTTTGTACATTTTATGTGGCTTTTGCTGAAATATTTTGGTTTAGCTTGGGTTTTGTATGATTASTTCACAATGTAGCGCTAAATGTATAAGTCTGTTGTAAATCATTTGCTTTATGTTTCAGTGTTTCCATYTTGTCTCAAAATAAAGAATAAAAATGTTTTCCTATTGTTGCTTAGAATTGGTCGTTAAAATTCCCATTTATTGGACACTTATTATCAAACTATTAAGGATTGCATTATTTGAAACTCAAAAACAATCAACAGGTTTTCCACAATTGCCACCTCAACTGTTTTGCAATAGAAATTCAACAGGTGTACTGTACCATTATTTTTTGTCATCTAATATCATGCAACTCATTCCTTCATTCCAGTTCTGCACGCTGCCTTAGATGTTCTGACCTCCCCTTGTGCTGTTGTGGCCTGCCACAAAATACACTGTGCTGTGTGTTTTGCTTGATGGAGAGTTACMGTATCTGTGTGCAGAAAACCTCGGCTGTATGGGCTTAGCTTTGGTGGATGCTGCAAGCAAAGCTTTTAGCTAATGACTCATTTGTATAGTAACCTTCAAACTCACAGCTGGACCAGAAGAGAGCGAGGCGTCCTCTGAGTCCGYGAGGAAAGAAGAGGAAAGTCACCTGACACTGTTATATGAGAGACCAAAAGCCGAAGAACTTGCCTTGGATGAATCCCCATTTGCCCCTGTGAAAGAGAGGGATCTCACTGAAGCTGCTTCATTTGAGCAAGCTGATGAAAAAGCTATTGAAAGCTCCAAGCTTTTGGAGTCAACTGTAATGGAACATGAGGAAATTTTACAGACAGAGGACAAACCAAGTCTTAACACTGAAGAAAACTTGGAAATATCGTTACCAAACAAATCAGATGCCCCTATCAACGAAAGCAAYGAAAAAGCAGAGTTGATAGGAGAGTTGATTCAAGAAATAGGTAAGGATGACCAAGACAGTAGTGTTCAGAACGTTGACTCAAGTCAAGAAACACTGAAAGCTACATTTGAWACACCAGTAGACCAATGCTCCGGGTCAAAAACTTACTTTGAAACAACTTCACAAAGTCAAGAAGAGGAGTTGACGCAGAGCTATTATGAACTCAGTTTGAAATCAGAGACAAAGTCAAGCGGGGAACATGAATGTACTGTGGAAAAACTTGAACAGGAAGGGGAAGAGGTCGGGATAAATCTTTGTAAAATGTCATTAGAGCAAAGTTTGTCCCTGGAYGTTCCTGGTGGATCTTCAGCGGTACATACCGTAAAGGCAGACGAGTCAAGACCATTTTCACAAAGCTTGTATCCAATTGGCGGTAGTGTTGATAAATCAGAATTTCCTCCCTCAGCTCTASTTGTCGAGAGTTGCACACCAAAGTTTCCCCCAACAGTCTCCATTACCCCAACATCTGCTACATCAAATGAAGATATCCCAACAAAACCAAAAGCATTATCTGATGAGCACAGCTCTAGCTTTGAACAATCAGAAAACCTTTCTGAGATGTTAGACTTGGCTGGAGTTCTACCTTGCCCATCATTAATGAGGAAGGAGATGGATTACACAAGACGAAAGTCAGTCCCCGCCAATGTGTCAGGTCTTGTAGGGAGTTCATTGGACAAGTTTGCCATGGCAGATCAAATATCAAAAGTGGTGGCAGGGGAACAKCAGCTGGAGGAACTTGGTTACTGTGTGTTTAGTGAGTGTTCAGCACCAATGCCTTCTCCTGCTGATCTACCCAGTCCTGGGTACACTTTGCAACASTGTTTCCCCTCTCTGGACAGTGAAATAGAGGGAGATCTTGGAGTCTTGGATGTTAAAGATATTCAAAAACAAACACAGCCAAGTGATAAGAMAGAAACTGTCACAAAGATTTCTCAAAAACCAGATTCACCTGTTAAGACGAGCCTGATTCTTGAAAAAGCTGTGACAAGTGGGATAAAACCAGATCGCCTACGTATCCCAATGACAACTTCGAAAGACAGACTCACTGAGTTGCGTCTAGAGACAGGCCTGCCTGGGGACATAAAAATCCAAGCAATCCCTGAGGTCGACATTGAAAAAGACCCCTCWAGAGAAGCTTCTCCCATCCCACCCGACAACTCATTTACTTTCACTCCAGCAGAAATTGGAAGCGAAGTGTCTCTCACTCCCATCACCCCTAAGTCCCCAACCGAAGTTTCCCCAGCTGAAGTTCATYCAGAAAATGAAGTCTCTGAAGGAAGGGAAGTGAAAGAAGATGTAACAGAGATGACCTCTTATTCAGAGGGTGTTGATCAGAAGCCTGAGTTAGACAAAGAGACAATTAAACCCGACCACGAAGTTCTGGAAGAAACAGACAATCAAAAAGACATGAACAACATAGGCAAGCCTTCAACATCCTCTCAAGTGTTACACTGTAGCATGGAGGAGAAYAAAGATTCTAAAATTCAAAGTGAGCATTCGAAACCAGCAAGATCAGAAGGACTGGAAATGCAGGAGACCTCAGACACTAATCAGAATTCGGGKATAGACAAAAGATTTCAGCCACAAGAGCTGACTCTGACAGAAGATTTTCCAAGACCACATTTATGTTCTCCAATCATTATCATACCTCAAACACAAGTAGACGAAGAAGTTGAGGAAGAGGATGACATTGAGATAGCCGAAGAACCTCAAGAGATAATGGTAGAATTGAYTGAGCCTCAGCACCACCAGATGGATAAATCAGAAGAGAGACCAATTAAAGAACTTGGATCTGAGGATCCAAAAAAAGACCAAGTGAGGCTGATGGTAGGTGATCAGATGCTGGAAGATGATCCTGTGTCTGGAGCTGAAGAATGGAGTCATAGTGCCCTAAACAGTGACGAAGGGGAGCCTGCAACGGACAGTTCGCACTTGTCTCCATGTTCTGACCATGACTTACCACCGCAGTCAGAGGATGGAGGTGAAGCTGAAGACATGAAAGTGGATAAAAAAGAAGATGGTATAAAGATAGACAAGCTGAAGGATGAAGAGATAAAGGAAAATCAAACTAAGGGGAAGAAAGCAGAAGAAGCAGATTCTGGTGAAGTAGATGAAGGGAAGAAAAAGAAAACAATGGGAGAAGGGGATGCAACAAAAGAGGAAGAAACTGAGATTGGCGTGGAAGCAACAAGCCAGGCTGGCAACGATGAAACTACAATGGATGTGTCTATCCTTGAAACAGACAGTGGCTGGATGGACTCACAAGGTACCCAAAACCTATAAAACTGTCAATATGCATTACTTCTATACTTAGTTTTGTAATATCAAAAGAAAATTAGTACCAGAAATCTTATTTTTAATAAATGTGTCTTGGTTTAGGATAGCTCCTTGGTAGCATGGAGAATTGGTCTTCTCTTTTGCCCTCTCTGCTACAGATGAGGATAAAAGTATCATGACTGAGCAGATCAAAGCCCTCCCTCTTACCAAGAGTTCTACCAGAACGCTTGTAGTGGCAGACCGACTTGCTAAACGTGGCCTCACTAAAGGACGGGGCCGTCCCAGCACTGCTGATTGTAAAGTGTCCCGCAAAACACCCATCCACCATCCGCCAATAGAGGAGAAGATGAAAAAGAAAGGTTCCTATTCTGTGTTAAAGTTTTCAGACAGAAAACAAGTACTGTTGCAATGTGTAGTCAGAAAACTTTGATATTAATTGCAGATTTGTTGGTGTTTAAATGAGGTTTCCATGTTGGTATAATCCTGTCTCTCCCCTTTGCTAGTAGGCGTGCGGAGGGCTGACCAAAATAAGGTGTCAGCCCTCCAAAGTCGCTCTCCGTCTCGAAAAAGTGGGGCCAAAGTGGCGGCCAGACACCCTAAGCCTGCTCCACTACATGGCTCTGTTAGACGCAAGGCCCCAGGTGAACACTTGTCACCAGGTATCAGCGCCTTGAATAGAGAGAGAGATTTAAAAAAACACACAATCCAGTTTTCTTTGTAACTGATTTCATAATGATTAAAAATAAGTCCTTTTAGAAACAAAAGTGGGTTTTGAAATCCAATTTGTCTATCTCTCTTTATTTTTGGCTCATTGAGGAATCAAGCAAATGCATTGTAGCTGGCAAACATCATGTCCTGCTGATCCATTGTTTAAAAGTTTAATTCAGCTGCTTCATTTCTTTTGKTGAAAAGTGGAGGACTCACTTGTGCTTCGCTTCACATTTGTGCTTTATTCTGCTCAGTGCTGCTTTTGTTTGTTTTTGGTATTTAATGACTCGGGTATCTTTTTTTATTTCTAATACTGGTCGCATGTTGCAGGTTGTGTGTTCTGTAAACACTTTAAATCTATAGCAATCAACTAAACCCAATAAAACAAGTGCTAAATGCCATTTTTTTCTTTGCTGTGTTGCTCTCTGTTCATAACATGAGTGCACTTTGTGTGCATGCATATCTTTCTAGCCGATGGCACCTCCTGCTGGTTTATATGTAACATGTCTGTTTGCCTCACAGGTGTAGAGCACCACCACCCCCTCAGTGTGGCGCAGCAGTCCAGAGAGAGACCTACTGTAAGTAATATCACATACACATAAAGTGGTTGCGATTACTATTAGTACAAGCATTAAATATTATTTTATTTTATTAAAGTACAAATTCACATTTTTTTGGAGGGAACAATATGTCAAAGTGCACAAACTAAATGAAGTGTTTAGGGGATTTTTATTTCAAAGTTGTTGTAGGTGTTCTTTATGTCAGAAATCACTGAATGTAAAAAGCACACCAGTGTCATTGTTTACACCGGGGATCTTTGTATGTCTATGCAGGATAAAATGTATAACATATTTGTGTGTATATACACACAGTTATATATATGAAATTTTAGAAATTGCTTTATCTTCATTTAAATGATCAGGTAGATTTTGTTTAGTGGGAAAGATGGTAACAAAGAAGTATTTTTTCTGGTGTGAAGGTTTCAAATCTCCAGTTTTGAGATCTGCCACCTTTGTTTATGTCAGGGTTGAGAATTATTGGGACAAAAATGGCTCAGAATTTCTTTTTTTAATTTTGTTTTTAAATTTAGTAACACTTATATTCTGCACTAGACTACATTAGGTACCATACATTTTGAATTGATCGTGATCTTGCATTATAACTCATTAATAATGCAGCTTCTACATGTTTAAAGTTGTTTTTTCTTTTCTCTCTTACTGTATAGTTACGTAGCAGTGTACTGTACTTTATCCAAAATTTTTAAATCAAAATTCTTAATCAGTAAATGAAAATAAGTGCGCTTTCCCATTTATTTTTAATGCTAAATTAAATCAAAATGTAATTTTAAACCATTTAAAATAAATATATATTTAAAATATCCATTTTAGGTTTCATAATAATAAATAAAACTAGAAGTTTTGAAGGAATGCATATCTCTTTTTGCCACAATTTGAAGCCATTTTGTGTTTGCAATGGTGGATTACCTCTAGCTCACTTCTTCACTCTGATTTTATTCTGATTTGACACTGAAAGTGTTTTATTTGGCTTCTGACTGATAAAAGCAGCCAGTATACTTTAAATTAAGCATGACACAAATCCAAAAGAACAGGTTCAGATGTTAAGTTCATAAAATGGCAAGTTTGTTTTAAATAAGTGTGCAAGAAACAGACCTAAATAAATTTCTTATTAGGAAGGAAGTGCTCTTTTTTTAGGCCAGAACACTTTTTTCCTCCTGGAATAAAGTGTTTTCTGTGCTTATTCTTTCATTAAACCCAAACGACCATATATATATATATATATTCCTTCACTCCTTTGCATGATCATATTAACACTGAATTTTGCCTGCCTCTGCTTCTGTATTTTTTTTTTGTGCCGTCTGCTATAACTTTGTTTTGCATGCCCACCTTCTGTCTTTGTGTCAGTCGCGACAGAGAAAACATGTGAGTATGAACTTTGTCAGCATTCATAAAACGTTTCCTCTCATCTGTTTGTTTCTCCATGAAATACTTCCTTTCTATTTGTTATTTTTTTCACCTCTTCCATCCATCCRCCTTGCACGTCATCTGTACGCCTCTGTCCCCTCCATCGATCACCCCCAGAGCCCCACGAGGGCTGTTCTGTTAAAGATGGCAATGCAGCGCGGCGGGGGCTCCCCCCGCCCAGGCTCTGCCTGCATACTTAAACGGAGCCCCCTCGTGGAAGCAGAGCTTTGCGAGGCCCGCTCTTCCTCCGCATGCTCCTACCCGCCCCCTTTGCCAAACAAATTGGCAGGGAAGGTAAATTAAAGAGGAAAAGAAAAAGGGACGGTGTTGTCTAACTTGTCGTAGCGGAGCTGACTGTGTCTGTGGCGTTTGTTTGATTCAGGAGAGAGTGTACCGCAGCCCTGAGAAGAGGTCATCCCTCCCCAGGCCAGCCAAGTCTCTGACTCGCCACATCCCTGCTGCTGAACAAGAAGACAACAGCACCCCCTCCAGGCCAACCTGTAAGATTACACTCACTTCTCTGCCTTTAAGTTCTCCAGTGCAACTTTTTGTTTTTAATCTTTCCTGTTTTGCTATTTTTTCCCCCTCATTCCCTTTCAACCTTCGTATCCTTTTGCCTCCCGCCCCTCAAAGCGATCCGAACAGACTCCAGAGGGGACGGCAGGTCTGGAAGGGCCCCTAGTATGGCAGGTAGACCACCTAGTAGCTCCCGTTAGACCCATCACTCCTTCCTCATGAGCTGCCTTAACTTGTCCAAAACAACAAATGTGGGCTAAAGTCCTGCTGGTTCTTCCTCTGAGAACCCAGTGTTAAGCTGTGACCCATTCTGGCAAAATGCTGTTTTCATGTTCTCCATATCAAAGGCTAAAAAATGATACGTAGTTTGTTAAAACTTGGCAATTTATCGCCTGGTTTTAGCAACAAGATTTTTTTTTTACGAGTGCCAGTTTGAAAATGAGATTTTTGTTGATCTGCAGTGATAACATTTGGATGTCCAACATTTATGCTAAACATTAAATGAAGGGATTTCTCGGCAGTCAGCAGAGGAAAATTGTCAGTTTCAAAGGAAATTGTAAGAGCTATGAAACAACAAATTATTTGCAGACATACCTGTTAGAAAACTTTGATCTAAAGGTGGATTAGGAAGATTATATGCCATCTTAGAAACCGGACCCACGAGGCATCAAAAACCAGTATTTTGTAATGTTTTGCACTGCAGCTTGTGCTTATTCTGACTAATTTTGCCAGCCCAAGTCACATATCAACACCTTCCTAAAATGATCATCCAAGTCAGTGGCTTTCAAACATTTCAGCCTTCGACCCACAAAATAACTGCTGCAGAAACTTTTGTCTAAAGATAGTACTGCCTTACACATAGCTCTGTTTAAAAATGGGCATAATAACAATAAACAAACATAATAACTATGATACTGCTTTTATTCTTTTATGYTATTTTTTTTGCAACAATTAAAGTGAAAGTTCCATTAACATACTGTATTATTTGCATTGTAAATTGATGTCTGGAAATCATCTGGGGACCCTCACTTGATGTTTCAAGTCCAGACCACAACTTTGGGAACCACTGGTTTAAGTTATTTTAATTTAGTCAGGAATCCCCAAAAACTTATTTTAAATCTTTCAGTTAGAGTTGTGTTTCCTGAAAAACTTATTTTAGGAAGGTGTTTGTTTATAAGTGGCCCATCAAATCCATTTAGGAATGTAGTTTTGGTCAAATTAAGCTAAGCACATTTTCCGAATCCTGTWTTGTTTTACAGCTACATTTCAATAACAAATCACTCTGATAATCGCGGCTCCAGAGGTGTGGCCTTTTTTTATTCTGCTAATTATGATGACCCCTGGAGCACTTGTCTGAATCCTGTTTGTAGTAACGTGGAAATATTATTTTTTTYCMWTYC